TAGAACAACTTAAAGTAAAGGATAGATTGCTTAAACAAATACAACAGAGATATTTGTAGTATTTTGGACACTTTGCTAGAAGAACAGGTACGATGGAAAAACTGATAGTCGAGGGTAGAGTTGAAGGAAAGAGACCTATGGGAAGATCTCCAAGCCGTTGGGTAGATGAAACAAAAACGTTGATTAACCAAGGGTTACATGAAGCCGAACAACTAGCCCAGGACAGAGAAGGATGGAGGGAAATCGTGAAAAAACTGTAAAGGCCTGATGGTGCACATCCCAAAAGGGATTAGGACTGAGGAGGAGGAGGAGTATTAGAACAAATCGTAAGAAGATTTAATATGAGCAAAAACAGAACTATTTTCAATAGTAGGGAACAGTACATAGCGTACGCGGATGTGGTAATACTAGCGAAACTAAAAACTTTTAGAAAATTTTTTCCAGAAATTTGAAGAAGAAGCGAAAAGATACTGATTAATAATAAAAAACCAAACAAAAACGCAATATATGGAAATGAGAGGATACATAACAAATAATAACAAATATATCAAAATGAAAGAGCAAAGACTGGCTATAGTTTTGAAAAAGTGTCAGAATTTGAATACTTAGGAGTAACCGTAACGAACACAAGAAAAGAAGAAAAAGAGATAGACAAAAGATTAATGAATGGAATCGGAGCGATAGGGTCACTAAATTTATTACTGAAACTAAACTGTGAGTCTACGAGACAGTAATCAGACCCTCAGTGATGTATGCTAGTGAAACGTAGATTATGAACCAGTAGGAAGAAAAGAAAAGAAAGTAGAGATCTGGGAACGCAAGGTGCTCTGAAAAATCTTCGGAAAAATAAATACGACAGAGGATGTGATAACTATAAAACAATCCATATGCTCTCTTACTTAACATTTAATTTTTAAAAATTCGTTTCAAAGCTTGAACCTTTCTTTACAAGTAAAAGAATTTTAAACTATTTTAAGTCCTTATTTTGCGCTTAGCATAATTTTGAAAATTTGCAAATTTTTTTGGACCTTTCATTGCAAAATTATTATGCAAAAACTATTAAATTGATCCTAACAAAATTTAGCATACGTTTCAGTCGTATTTTAAAGTTTTTCTAATCGGAATATGGAGAATGTAAGTCAGGTTTAATTTTTGCACTTTTTTCCCAATTGTTGCTTTTTTTTTAAACAAAAAACATTAAATTTTCAATTTCTAGTTAGTCAAATACACTGCACTTCAAAATTAAAGCATAATTTTAAAATTCTTATTTTGAGTTATAATGAAAAAAATTTTGTTTGTTTTTTTCTGCTTTATGGTTGTTTTAGAACATCTTAAATAAAGAACTTTTCTTTTTTTTCAAAAAATGTATTGAAATTAACAAACAAACATTATAAATTAATGACGAAATAAAAATTTTTAATGAAAAAGTAGAAGTAGTAGTTAGTTAGAAGAAATACAAGTACCGTGAACTAGTATCGAGTATTGCCTCCTCTGACATTTAGTACTTCTTGACAACGATCTCTCATACTGAGAATAATGAGATTTTTGATCAATTTGATCTCAAATTTCAACCAACCGCAAAAACAGTTCAACTAATGTGTTTGGTGCATTTGGCGCTGGTTTCTCTGAACAGACGTAAGAGTATGATGGTAGATATCAATAGGTATATACGTCGATTATTAGGTAAGATTAAAAATACAAAGAACTTTATAAATAATGAAAATGATATTGTTCTGAAGCTATTTTCTTGTGGTATTGTAAATTAATTACTATTAAACTGGGAATAAGCCACAATTAAAGATAAAAATACGTTTATTGACGTTTCAATTTTCACTTCGGAAATCGAATTTCTATACAAGAAACTGGCACACTGTCAAAATTCAATTAAATTTTTACGAAGATGTAGAGATAACAACCTAATACCAAAGGGCTTGAAGTTACGTCCAGCATATTCAAGCAGAAGGTTGGAAAACATTCTACATAGAGCCAGTTTGTCCATAATCCGAGAAAGATTACAATATCATAGATCGAATTTATTTTTTGTTGAACAAGATATTGTAAGTATTGAAGATTTGCTTTTCAATGTGATATCAAATTCTGATTTTGATCAAATTATTTTTAGTTTACATATAGTATATGAAAATTCATATAGAAAACAAAGAAATATACATTTAAATAAATTTAATATTCTTTTAGAACAAAGATGTCCGAAGTGGAAATTGAAACGTCAATAAACGTATTTTTATCTTTAATTGTGGCTTATTCCCAGTTTAATAGTAATTAATGAAAATGATAATAAAAAAAATGTTGATGAAACTGTTACTTGAAGAAGAGGAAGATATTGAACTAATAATTAGAAATTTAAAGAAAAGAAGACAGACTCACAATATATTTAAAAATAGACAATGAAAGGACATTTAGTAACTTAATTCATACGCATCTTAAATGTGATAAAATTCATACAATATTTTAGACTATCACAAAAACAGCCACTGTTCGTTATGAATTTTCAGTTCCATCTCTGTTACTATTTTACAAACTTGTAACCTAGTTTCAGCAATAATATGTGGTGTAAAGATTGAAACACTGTCAGCCATGGACTCGAAAAATTTATGAATAGCAGATTTTTCTGGTAAAGTTTCTGTCTGCGTTAAAATTTTTTCCAACAACTGATCATTCACTTGCTGTCTCTTTTCCAAAATACTGATCAAATTAAAAGATTACTTGTGGTTGCCATATGGAAGGGTCACTTGGCAGTCACACGTTGTATAATTAAAAATTATGTTTAAATTAATTATTACATTATTTGTATGTATTTCATCTTGTTCTTTTTTCATTTTGCTTTCGTCCGTCATAACGTCCACCCGCTGCAATGCTTCGAAACCATATGAACGGACACACGCAGTGGGTAAACGCCAACCGTCGACGCTAGCCGTGACCGCTGGCGTGTCTGAGAAACCAAGTGCATATACTTTTAGGTATAGCATTCAAACGTGGACGGCAGCCGTTGTCCGTCGCCGCTGACGTATGTTCAGAGAAACCAGCGCCTTTGGTAGTTGTCGTAGTCGTCTGCCTATGATGTCCCAAACATGTTCTATTGGGTTGAGGTCAGGACTTCTCGCAAGCCAATCCATGGCAGAAATTCCAACCTCCTGACGATACTGCTGCAGAATTCTTTAAGAAATTATCCCCAATAAATGATGCAAATGGCATAACATGCTCTTCTAAAATGTCTCTTATATACCTCTGCGATGTAAGCCGACCGCGATCTATTCAAACTAATTCCGTAGGAGCCTCTAAATTTATCCCACCCCACACCATTACCGAGCCGCTGCCATACTGTACAGTTCCTACGGTGTTACACTGTGCGTAGCGTTCCCCATGCCTTCCATACACTCGATTTCTTCTGTCATAAGAAAAAAAGACAGTACCTGGATTCATCGGTGAACAATATTCTTCCCCAATCATCATTATTCCAATCAACATGTCTTCAATCAAATGCAATCTTTGTCTTCTATGGTCTCTGGTCAATAATGGTCCAATTGGTACCCTTCCAGGGTGTAGGTCGTTTTCAGCAAGTCTTCTTCTAATCGTATTTTCGCAGATTCTAAAGTTATAACGATCCAAAAATTCATTTTGTAGAGAAGTACTGGTATTAAAATGGTAATGGTATGGTAATGATTCTAAAACAGTCACTTTCTGACAAATTTCGATTTTCTTAAAAGAAAAAACACTTAATAAACTTGAAAAACCCTTTAAACGTTCAGCACAACGTAATCCAACCCAACTAAATACGAAATAAAGTGAAGCAGAATTAGCAGGTTTTTAATTTTTTTGCAAAAAATGGTAAAAACATCAGCGTTTTTTACCGTTCTTTCGATAAATTTTACAATATACCGGGTTAACAATAATATATTAGCACAAAAATCGAAACAATAAAATTATTTGATTTACCAGGGTTTTTAAAATTATGCGTTAATTTTGGGGTGCAGTGTATTATGTAAAATTTAAAATTGATCTAGTATATTTTGAGTTATAGGAGAAAATATGGACACAAAAAGCAAAAATTTTAATTTAAATAAAATGAAAGTATGTAGAGTGTTCGAGTAGTAGAACAACGGTAGAGCTTAAACTGAAAAGAAATTCAATCGTCTACTTTAATTTTGACGTGTTATATCTACGTAGAAATTGCAAAAAATGGTGTTTTTCAGGGGTAAACTGTAGATATATTGTCGGAATAAAAGGTTATTTCTAACATCATCCAATAGCTTCTTGTAAGCTTGAATTTGCAATTTACATAATTCGCCTTTGAAGAGAAGTTTCCTGACTTCTCGTCAGGAATAGAGGTCAAGATATAGAGGTCAAGTTATCAGGAAAAAAAAATTATAAAATAGCGGCCGATCAATGAATTATATATTAGTTGGAAAAAAAAATATTGAAAAAGTATTCAATCAAGAAGCAGTTTTATTAAATTTAGTATAATTTATATATAAAAATTATATGAGAACCAAAAGATTAAACTAAAAATGGAAAGTTAAGAGCAATAAAAATATGTGGAATAGAATGAGAAACAAAAAGAAGTAAAGAAAAATCAATAAGAAAAGAAACTACTAATACAAGTGAACAAATGAAAATGGACAGAACAGCAAAAATTTAATAGGGAGAGTTTATGAGAAAGTAAAGTAAATAAAATAAATACATTTGGAATACAAATTTCACCTAGTGTATAAAATACACATAAATCATATTAAAACACTGGTCTAAAGAACGATACATTTTTCATTGCCTACTAACTCTTTAGCCTTACATAGTGCAGTTTTAATTGACAATAATTTAAATGGACAAAATTTTGTTGCACAATTAAAATTAAAAATATATAGAATACCATAAAAAAAGAAGTTGTACGATTATAGTACAATATAAAAACAATAGCAAATTGAATTATTTAATACAAAATATAGAAAATTTTTCCAATTGGTCAATACTGAAATAATTCTCACCTGCAGCTACTCCTGCTACGAAATTATTAACTAGACCAAACTTAATTATCATCTTGTTTCACTTGGATCTACTCAAGTCAAGTATAAATTAATATCTGTCTGGAAAAATGCTCTATTTGGTACATATACTCTACTTTCCATCTTATCGAATCGACACTATCATTATCGAAAATCTGTTGTGATTACAATTGCTGACAATGAAATATTTTAATTGTTTTCCGACATTTTTATTGGCCACAGAAATATAATAAGAAAAAACCAGTTATTGAAGTTTAAATTATAATATTGGTATCACCAGCTGCCTTATTATACAGGGCGATTACTGTACAAATGCTTAAATATATACATTTATTATATATATATATATATATATATATATATATATATATATATATATATATATATATATATATACTTTGGAGGATAACTTTCGGGAAAGCGTCAAAACAAGGATCAGCTAGAGATGGTATAAGCCAGTTTGGTGTAGAACTTTATTCTAAATGTGAAATTTTCGGTGATATGTTGTCACCTTCATCAGCACCTAAATGGAAAACCTATTTTAGTACAAGTGGTGGAAATTAACATATAAAACCTACATTGAAAATGTTCAGTTGGTCCTAGAGGTGAAGAACACTGTCACAAACATGTTAAAAATATTAAAAAATACATTTAAAATTTTGAATAAAAACATTACAACACAACAGGGTATTATTTAAAATACAAACACAACAAAAATCTAAAAATTACAACCTACACAAAAACTGCAACTTCATGTTAAAGGTAGAAAAGAAGAATTATTCTTCTTTTTTGATGACATATTTCTGACTTCTGTCAATGTCCGGGTGACATATGCAAGGAGGTTATAATTTTCACGTTAGAACCTCATGGATATGGAAAGAAAGAACCCCAGGAAACACAATCAGCAGGGAAATGGAGTCTTTTCTCAAGTACAGGTAGGCAATCTATGTATGTTATGATAAGTTCCCTACATTCTCCAGTTTGTTACATCTTGTCAAGTCCTGTTGAAGTAGAAATGAATAAATACAACTTAAGTTTTCAACATCTTTCTTACAGTTCATAGAAGAACTGCAGTTATGGATGTAGCACATTTCTATGAAGTTTCTCTTAAATTGGTTGTCAACCCTCTTTAGTACTTGCACATTTTCATAGTTGAGCAAGTACTAAAGAGGGTTGACAACCAATTTAAGAGAAACTTCATAGAAATGTGCTACATCCATAACTGCAGTTCTTCTATGAACTGTAAGAAAGATGTTGAAAACTTAAGTTGTATTTATTCATTTCTACTTCAACAGGACTTGACAAGATGTAACAAACTGGAGAATGTAGGGAACTTATCATAACATACATAGATTGCCTACCTGTACTTGAGAAAAGACTCCATTTCCCTGCTGATTGTGTTTCCTGGGGTTCTTTCTTTCCATATCCATGAGGTTCTAACGTGAAAATTATAACCTCCTTGCATATGTCACCCGGACATTGACAGAAGTCAGAAATATGTCATCAAAAAAGAAGAATAATTCTTCTTTTCTACCTTTAACATGAAGTTGCAGTTTTTGTGTAGGTTGTAATTTTTAGATTTTTGTTGTGTTTGTATTTTAAATAATACCCTGTTGTGTTGTAATGTTTTTATTCAAAATATTTTTAACATGTTTGTGACAGTGTTCTTCACCTCTAGGACCAACTGAACATTTTCAATGTAGGTTTTATATGTTAATTTCCACCACTTGTACTAAAATAGGTTTTCCATTTAGGTGCTGATGAAGGTGACAACATATCACCGAAAATTTCACATTTAGAATAAAGTTCTACACCAAACTGGCTTATACCATCTCTAGCTGATCCTTGTTTTGACGCTTTCCCGAAAGTTATCCTCCAAAGAATTGTATTCTTAGCGTCGTTATACAAACTCTATATATATATATATATATATATATATATAATATATATATATATATATGTATATATATATAATATATATATATATATATATATATATATATATATATATGTATATATATGTATATATATATATATATATATATATATATATATATATATATATATATATATATATATATATATATATATATATATAAAAGAGACATGGGGAATCTAAAATTTCCATTCCCCATGTCTCTTTTAACATCTTTTATCAACGTCTGTTTGCCTTGCAATTTTTAAAAGGCTCAGATTATAAAGCAGAAATCTGAATTGTGTTTCGAAACTATTTTACGATTTTTGTAATTAGATGTGGCTAGCGCGTCTGTATTGAAGCCATGTTATTGTTGCTTCTTAAAAGGCAGAAAATATTGATTTTTCACGTTGAGAACTCCTATGAATAGCTGTTCTGATGAGACCTATTAGGTCGAAATACGTATCAACAGATACATAGGATTTGTTTGCGTGAAATAAAATATTTGCTGCCTTTTTTCATTTTATTCAAATTTACTGTGTGTGAGTACTAGAAGCAAAATTCGCTAAGGATTTCTGCTTAGTTGTAAAATACATGTCGTGGAATGTCGTGATATAAAATTTTAGATTCCCCATGTCTCTTTTAATATCTTTTATCAACGTCTGTTTGCCTTGCAATTTTTAGAAGGCTCAGATTATAAAGCAGAAATCTGAATTGTGTTTCGAAACTATTTTACGATTTTTGTAATGACAAACTATTTAATTTTTGATGGCCTAATATAGACTTTAAAATTTTTTTTTGTGGCCATTACTGAGAATGATCTTTACTAATGATACTGCTTGCATTTTTTATTAGAAAGGTTAAACAAATTTTCACAATTAAGTTTAAATTTAGGAATGTTGCAATAATATTATTTTCCTGAATAAATGACCACATGGATAAAGGCTACATAATACTTTCGTTACTTATATTGTAATAAGTCTTAAATAGTAATAATTCATTTTTCAGTTCAACTAGGTTTAAATCTTGTTCATAACATTTAAATTCCTCTATTGAAGATCAGTCACCTCATTATCATGAAAAATTATTCAATCAACAATCATTCGTTTTTTTTTGTCATTAGCGTTGCTTGCAACCAATCTATTTTAACCTTTTTCTGCTATTAATGTTCTGAAGAAGGAGCCAATAGTTAATTTCTTGTGATTTATTTTGACCCACAAAGTTTATAGAATTTCTTGGGCAGCCTTCCCCTGATTTTACATAGGCCAAACCAATCGTACAATTTAAAATAGGATTTATAAATATTCTATTTCTGTTCGAAATTCTGATTCGATTTTAGTTCTAGGTCAGCACCATCTTCATATATGTCACACAATTGATTTTAAAACTCCAGAATCATAACTCCCACTTCTATAAACCAAGAATTGCTAGAGAAGCAATAGAAATTGAAAAACGGCCAAGGTTTCCCAATAAAAGAACGGACGGTACACGGCTGCCTTTGACATGGAGGACTATCTTAAAGAAAACAGCTGTTCTACCTATCAATCTAAATCCCGACCTTGGGAATCTCCGTGCTAACTCCCACCAAAACCTCCTTTTAGGGAACTACGTCATCATCGACGTATAAATGAACCGTTCGCCGTCTCTAGGGAAAGTAGGATCTGGAGACACAGAAGACTGAAATCCTGGAAGTCCCAAAGTAGTCATCAGAAAAGATGTCAAATTCTTGGAGCAGTGAAAACCGACGCGGTTTAACCCGGAAGCCTGGCGAGTTTGATATTTATTTTTGTAATAACATTAATCTGAACTTTAGGTTTAATTTTACCAACAACGAAAACCTTTCCGGCCATTATGGGCCAAACCCCGTCGATTTTGACGAAACTGGACCTTCGGAATAGACAATAAATTATGACACAGTAGGTACACGTTATTTATGAATAACAGTGTTTCCAAATTATGTTCGGAATTAAACAACATAGCTAGTCGAATATTAAATGTATTTGCTAGCTCCGCTATTTAAATTATTATTATTCCGCTATTATTTTTAAAATTGTAAACGATTTAACATCCAATTATTATTTATAACTGGGAATAAGCCACATTAAAGATAAAAATACATTTATTGACGTTTCAATTTCCAATTCGGAAATCGTTCTCAAAATACAAATAGTAAATTATAAATAATTTATAAATAATAAATAATAATTATAAATTATTAATTTATAATTATTATTTATAATAATAATTAATTTACAATGCCACAAGAAAATAGCTTCAGAACAATATTGATTTAACATCCGTCGATTTTTATTTTTACATTGCAATCAAATTGAATTAAATTTAATTTATGTATTTGATGGATAACGTGTTCGTAAGCCGAATTAAATTAAGGAACTCATGGGAGTTTAAAGGGATGTAAGTGAAATTAAGTAAGTGAGAGAGCGCGAACAGGAATGAAAAACCACTCATTCGCCTTTAGTTTAGTGATTGAACATTTAGTTTAGTGATCCTTTAACGTAATACAATGGGTAAGTTTACGTGTATTATTGATACTTCTCTCTCTGCCATCTGCATATATAGGGCATACATAGAGTGAAAGAAGAAGATATAAAATAAACAAAGAAATCAACCTAATAGAAGTCAGACTTGTCAAATTTTTGAAGCCTTTGCTTATTGGCCATCCATTTGCTTTTGACAGAAAGGGCATTATCTAGGTGTTGTTTATTTAATATTATTAAAATGATAATTTTTCGACTGTTCTAACAACCATTCAAATTTCGTCATTTTGTTTCATGTGGAACAAGTTCACCCAATCATGTCAACATTAAACTGATAATTGCATTCAGTGCAATTTTCAATCCCTATGACAACACGATCGAGTTTGACAACTTCATCCAAATAAATTTCAAAATGTCACGTTTCTATAAAACCATACTTGAATCTCATTAAGTGGTGGTGAGAACACTTAGTATTTCATGATCACATAAGATGGTGACACCACAACAAGATTATAAATATTATGCGTGGTAATAGATCTTCTATAGTAGAGAACAGCAACGAATCTAATGTTAACTTAAATTTTAATAATTGTACTTTCACTAACTGTACTTTTAATAAATAAATGTTTCGTTACGTTGAGTTATGATTTTTTTTTCG